AAACTCTTTAGACGCGACATTTGTCGTCGTTTAGAACCGCCTGTCGCATTTTTCTCTAAACGGAGAGAAAACGATAATTAATAAATTAACGCATCAACATTATTATTATTATTATTATTATTATTATTATTTTTACAAACGCGACAAATCGGTTCTTTTTTTTCGCGTATTCAAACCGAAATACTCAATACCGATTTCAATGGCGGTAGAGTAGCAAAAGAATAAAAAAAAAAATTAAAATAAAATTTCCACGGAAAATGAAAATTCTCCATTTTCCAAATGAAAATTTCAATTATCTGCCTACTCGTCTTGAGCACGACATTGTCGATAATCGTACACGTCGTGGCCGCAGACGAACAAATCCAAAATGATTTCAACGTACACCGATTTAAATCTGTTTACCTAATTAAAAATATTTTGTGAATGAAATTAATTTTATGTTTTCATTCGTCGCGTAAATGAAAACATTTTGTTTTAGTTTTATTTTTTTTTTTTTAAATGGCGCGATGGCAACAAATATTATTATTATTATTATTTTATTATTTGCGAGCATATATATCTATAAAAATTTGAATTATTTTTATTAAATTAAATTACCAAATTTTTATTTTCCAAAACTTTTCAAAAATCAAATAAAAATTTTATATTATTGTTACTACAATTTTGAAAAAAGTCAAATTTTACTCGCATGAATGATATAATAATAATAATAATAATAATAATAATAATAATAATAATAATAATAATGATAATGATAATAATAATATATTTATGTTAATTTCATTCATTCACGTCATTTTAAATATACGCCATTACTTTTTTTTTCTCTTTCTAATATTCTTTTTCTTCACTTTTCTTTTCTCTTCCTCCCCAATTAAAATAATAATAATAATAATGATGATGATAATAATAATAATAATAATAATACTACGACCACACAAATAATTACTGAAGCGCGCTTAAAGGAAAATCAGGTTAACGACAACAACAACAACAACAACAACAACAAGTGAAAGTTTACATTAATTTTTTTTCTTTTTTATAACTTTTTACAAAAAAAAAAAGAAAAATTTAAGAAAGATCTGGAAATTACCAGGAAAAATATAAAATCAAGTAAATAATTTAAAATTTAAATATGGGTCTGGATTTACGAGGGGGGACTCGTCCGTCGACAAACAATTACTCGGGACGACTCGTCTCGTTCAAAAGTTAAAAAAAATAATAGTAATAAATTTTTTTTTTTTTTTTTTTTTTTTGAAACAATGACAAATAGACAAGTGGAAAAATAGAGAAAGAGAGAGAGAGAGAGAGAGAGAAAAGGATAATCGACGTCATCACTTAATTAATCGTTTGCAAATATTAATTAAAGGGGAAAAAGTTGGTAGGAAAGTTTCTGGAGTGGTGAGGGGGGGGGAAAAGAAAAAAAAGAAAATATTTAACTTTGACGAGGAAGAAAAGTGAGAGAGAGAGAGAGAGATTGGTAATTCATCCAAAAATAAATTAATTAAAAAATAAAAAGACAAAAACAAAAAAAAAAACAAAAAAATCAATGAATCGATAAAATTCATTAAACGATTCGAAAAAAATTTGTCTGTTGGCAAAAAAAAAAAAAAAAAAATCCAATTTTTTATCTCTCTCTCTCTCTCTCTCTCTTTTTTTATTTCTTTCCTTTACTTTTTGTGATCTCACACCCCCACATTAATTAATAAACGATGGTCAATCAACAATAATAATAAAAAAAATTTCTAGAAAAATAACAAAAAAAGAAAAAAAGCAACAAAATAATAACTCGTAAAAATCACTCTTAAAAACTTTTCTTTTTTTTTTTTTCCCACCACAATAAAACATAATAATAATAATAATAAAAATTGTCGCAAACGACAAAATCGTTTCTGACACGTCGAAACGTTCAGAAAAACGTGGCTGAATGTAACTGAACTTCGACGTAATAAAATAATATAAAATAAAATAAATAAGAAAAATCAATTATTTTAAATATCGAATTCGACTATTTTTTTTTTTTTTTTTTTTCAACTGACAACAAAAACAAACGATTCCCGAAAGGTAACAAACAAACAAACAAACAAACAAACAAACAAACAAATTCAAATTTAAAAAAAAAATAAAAAATAAATAAATAAATAAAAAGTGTCGAATGTGACGACGATGTGATGTGGTTTGTGCATCGTTGGGCGTGTGTGCGCGCGTTTTGTAAAATCGCCATGTGACGTCATTGTGAAAAAAATTTCGCCGCGTTTATTTTTCATTTTAAATTAGTCCGAAATGCGTTTTTCGAACAAAGGGGCGGAAGAGGGGGGCCAGGGGGCGGGGGAGACGAGCGGGGGGAAATAAAAATAAAACAACCCCGGGGGGGGGAAACCCAAAAAAAAAAAAAAAAAAAAAAAAAACAACAGCGAATGCGTAAATTATACGTTTTATTGACCCAATGTGCGTTCGTGTTTTTTTTTTTTTCTTTCTTTCTTCCATTTTTTCTACGTTTGCCTTTCGACACGTAAAAAAAAAAAAAAAAAAAAAAAAATTTATAAAGGCACGCACTCACGCGCACACGCACACAACACCTCTCAATTTTAAATTGTTAATCACGATCAATTATGATTCATTTTTAACACGCACACACGCACACACAAAAACTCAAGACGGAAAAGGAAATCGTTTAAAGAAATACCTGGAAACGGGAACAATTTTTCTTTTAATCATACGGATTCGAATCATTCTCATCTTCCCTTATCCTCCCTTCCTTCCTTTTGCGATAATCGATCGATCTATCGATCGAACGGATTTGAATCCGATTTTTAAATTCTAATTACATTTTTCCATTTCAAATTGGATTCAAATTTTTCACCGATAAATCTAATGGAATCTATTCGTTAGATTTACACAGAGAGAGAGAGAGAGAGAGAGAGAGAGAGAGAGAGAGATGGAACGATATGTTATCATTCATTCGATTATTTACTACGAAACTTATAAAAATTACCAAAAAATTGACCCATCAAAACGCACACGCACACACACGCCCACGAGCGAATTGTAGCAAAAATCTCATCTGATTTAGCGCAAAAAAAAAACCACCCCAAATATTAATTATTACGACGACTTTCATTGTTTTTACCGAAACTACAATTGAATAACCCCGCAGCTAATAATAATAATAATTTTTTTCGTTATTTTTCTCAAACGCAAAATTTATCCGAGCGCAAAAATTTTGAAATTCCAGAATAATAATGATAATAATAATAAAAATAAAAGAGAAAAAAAAAAACGAAACGAAAAATAAGTTTGAAAGAAGGAAAAATAACATTAATAATAATGATGATGATGATGATGATGATAATGATAATGATGACGACGATAATAATAATAATAATAATGATAATGATAATAATGATAATAATAATAATAATAAAAACCGGTAAAAACTTTTCTGTTACGAGATAATCGCTTTTACTTCGTTCTAGAAACTTCGATGCGGAATTTTTTTTATCATAATTTAAAAAGTTCGTACGCTACGTAAGCTAAACGTTTGCATTCAATTTAAACAAAATGGCGGCAAATAAATACGATTTATTTATTTAAAAAAAAAAAAACATGGCGCGTTAATTATCATCATCGTCATCGTCGTCGTCATCATTATTATTATTATTATTATTATTATTATTATTATTATTATTATTATTATTATTAATATTGTTGTTGTTGTTGTTGTTATTTTAAAATTATTTTACTTTTTTCGTCGAACACTATTTTGTTTTACTTTTGTTTTTACCAAAAGTTTTACTAAAATTTTTAAACGGATTCCATTTTATTTTATTTTTTCAAAATTTAAAATGAAAATTTCAATTTCACGCGTACGGGAAATAGAGTGAGAGAGAGACAGAGAGACAGAGAGAGGGGGGGAAAAATTCCATCCTCCATTTTACGCGCATATCTAACATACGCGTCCAATTAATTCTTGCGTGCGTGTGCGTGTGCGTGCGTTTGTATGCGTGTTTTAGGCACACCCACCACGTTTTATACAATTTCTTTGTCTCGTTTTTTTTTTTTTATTTAAACAACAAAATAAAACATTAATTAATTGCACATTCGTTGCACTTTTTTTTCCTATATATATATATATATATATATATATATATATATATATATATTCAGTTACGGAATGATAATTAATAATAATAATAATGATGATAATGATGATGATTATGATGGTGGTAAACTGCAATATAAAAATTAATTTTTTGTTTGGCTTAATAATCGTTTCGTTCGTTTTACAACAACAACAATTTACTCTACGTGAAATTTTTAAGCGTCTTACGTTAAATAAATAAATGACCGACATTGAATTTCATTCTCAAAATAATAATAATAATAATAATAATAATAATAATAAAACAATTTTTCTTTAGTTCTTTCTTTAACTTATTGTTTTTCTTTTCTTTTTTCTTTTTTTTTAAAGAGGAGAACAAAAAAAAAAAAAGCACAAAAATGTTTTGTTTTACAAAAATTTTTTCAAGTGCAACATGCAACTAAAAAAATTTTTTTTTTTTTTTTTTTTCTATCTAAACAGACACAAACGCACACGCACACGCACACACAGGCAAAAGTTTTCACATCATAATTTACACATTGACATAAAGAATTTTCCTTACTAATAAAAGCAACAATAGTTGTAATAGTAGTGGTAGTAATAATAATAATAGAGATAGTAATCGAAGTAATTTTGAAATTTTCACAAAGCAAACGAGTATTTTCGCCTTTTTTTTTTTTTTTTTTTTTTTTTTTTTTTTTTTAAATCTCAATCGTGATATTTAAAATTATGCACAGCAAAAACATATTGAAAAGATACACCATTGTCCTCAGCAGGGATTTTTTTAAGTGTTGTAAATACCATGGGGGTTAATATACATATGAATTATTAATTAATCATCTCATTGAAATTTTAAAACAAAAAAAGTGTAATTAAATTAATAACTTACCTACTAGTGTCAACACTCATTTTCTTCTCCCTGATCAAATGATAACAATTGTTTCGATACCTTTTTGACTTTTTTAGATTTTTCACAAATTTCTTCTTTATTATCAAGTATTTTTCTTTTCGAATTACTCGGTTTTTGAAAAATTACTTTTTTCGTAAGATCAGCTTTTGTATTTTCTAATTCTGCACACAGACGAACACACACACATACAAAAAAAAAAAGAAAGAAATGAAAGTAATAAACTGCTATATGGTGTGTAAATTTTAAAAAAAAAATTTTTAACATACAAAATGAAAATAAAAATTCTTACCAAATTTTTTTTTAGCATTTATTTTAGCAACTTCTTCAGGAGTTAAATCGCCAGGTTTAACAACAACAACAACTGGGCTTTCATCTGGTTTCTCACTATCAGAATCAGAATCTACTGGTAATTGCTCTTTCTGAGATAAAAAAATAATTATATTAAATATAATATATTATCGGGCAAAATAAAAAATTTTTTTTTGTAATTTACTTAAGCTGTTATCAAGTTTTAAGGACCTTATATTAAAATATAGATATTTTTTATTAAAAAAATTAAATTTTTTTTTTTTTAACATTAATTAAATGACGTGAAGGCACTTTTTAACACAAGTATAACTACCCTTTCAAATACATATATATATATATATAAATAATAAAAATTTATGATTAACAAAAATGATAATCCACATATAATTTTTTTTTAATGGCTGCCATTTTGTGTAAAAATGGCGTAGCATCCAAATAGCGCAACAGAAACGGGAGCGATTTCCACAAAACATTTTCTCCCCTCGCGGAATCCCTTAAATACATTTATAATAAATATATATTTAATTCGACTTACTTTTGTATTGATATCAGGTCCAGGAACATAACCTGCTTCACGTTTTAGTTTAGTTAAAAAACTTGGTTCTTGGGGTTTCACATACGCCACATTTCTTTTTTTATACATTTCAATGAGTAGTCACCACTCACATCACAAGCAATCCCACAAAAATTATTTTTTATATATTTTCTCATGAGTTTGTTATTTATCTAACAATCAAACACAACGAATCACTAAAACGATAACCTATATATCAAGGCATTAATTTAAATAATTATATTTAAATAAATTTAAAACCCTGACAACCGGCTACGACTATGAGTAGAAAAAAAAATTTTCCCTAAATTAACCACACACATAAACAAGTAGACTTGCCATGATGCAAAAATATACAGTATGACCAACATTGAAAATTTTTTTTTCTTAACATTTTGCCGCGTTTTCAATTCATCCTTTTATATATATATATAATTCAATTTCTACTTTAATTAAACCCCTCCCCCTCCCCCCAAGTTATTTTACCCTTATTTCTTTTATATTTTTATGTATGTAAGTAAAAAGAAATGAAAAAATAACATATAACATACTAAAATTATTTATTATATATATTTAAAAGTAAATTTTAATCACTTACATATATATATATATATCTCTTTGTAACAATAAAAAAAAAAGTTATATAAATTTTTTGTTATTCAATAAAGACTAGCAAAATATTTATAAAGCTATAGAAAAAAAAACTAATTATTATTATTATTTCCTTTTTTATTAAGTGATTCAACGTAATTTTCTTTCGTTTGCCTCCAAAATTCTTCTTCGAGATCACGAAGATTTTGTTGCAATGTGGTTACTTCTTCGAATCTATTTGCCGATTCCGCTTGTTTTATGTAACCTTTAATTATGTTAATTTGTTGAATGATTGGATGATCGGATATTATACCGAATGCACTTTGTGAAACTTTTGGTGTCCAACCATCTTCAACCACGACCTACAAAAAAAAAAAGTTTTACGAAATGCCCTTCTAAACAAAAAAAAGAAAATAAAGTAAAAAAATTAACAACAAACTTCTTTAGATCCGTACGATGTATTTCCTCCTTGACTTTTTGTCACCGGAAGTGATTTATTCGTTTTATTTTCAACAGGATGATCAACGGTTTCGAGTGATGATTCTATACGATTTTCTTCTTCGATTCTTTTAGCAATTTCTAACCTGAATACAATACAACAAATAAATAAATAAAAATTGAATTTAACTTTTTCGAAATTTCCATATGAATTTTAACTACCTTCGTCGCTCTTGCGCTTCTTTTATTTCCTCTTCTTTCGGTAGAGATGGTAACGAAACGATTTTTTCTTTTAAATAATATGTCGCCGCATTATTTATTGCTTTTTGTAACATTAATTGATTTTCCATAGGTGGACTCTCGCTATTCTGACCCAAAATGGCTATTTTTTGACTCAACATATCAATATTTTCAGCTGCCTTTAATATTTTTATACGAATCATTTCCGCATCCGATAAATTATATATCGTTTCTCCCATACTGTAATAATAATAATAATAATAATAATAAAAACAAATCGTCGGGAACGTATAAAATGATTAAATAATTAAAGGATGGTAAAACCTTAAAGATTTAAACATTTTTAGGTACATGGGAAGCTGAGAATTAACTTCGTTTACGCTTCCTCTCATTTTTTCATAAAACTGACAAATGATCGGCTTTTGAGTGCTGTCATCTTTTATTTTTTGTCTAACGTCTAAAAGTTTATAACAATGTTCGCAAACTCTGAAAAATGTTTCGTTGGCCAAATCCAATGCTAAAACGGATTGAATTGCAGCACCTGATGGTGATCTCAGTAAAGCTTTTACCGGTAATTTTTTCGCCGTAGAAAATTCATTTTGAGAATTTCCCGATGACGAAGATGATGATGATGATGTTGTTTCTATCAAGCTATTCGTCATTTTACCTTAAAATAAAATTATTTTGTTTTAACATATATTATTCTTTCATGATGATAATGATACAGTGAGAATAAATATTATTATTATTATCGTTCCTTTAACGTTAAATACACTCACGTGCTCTATCCAATGGTAATATAAAAGTACATTCGTTACACATAACGGAACCGCAAAGTCTGCAATGATGTTTTCTTCTCAAAAGAGTAAATGATTTAGCACAGCCAGGACATAGTTTGACATCTTTTTCATTGAGCCAAGGAACAATATCTTGTTCATGAACTAAAATTATAAAATTTACATTAAATGAATTTTTTTAAAATCTAATGAAATTTTTCCATTTCGATATTACTCGAAAAAATTATATATATACCTTTTCTTTTAACAGGATCCGAAGGCAAATTCACGAGTAGTTTTTCAAGTCTTATAATTAAATTATTCGTTTGTGCTGCATAATGTTCCATTTTGTTTGTTCTAACATTCTTATAATAATCAGTGTGATTTTTAAATGCTCCTATTTCATCATTAACTTCACTTCTACCATATCCTGGAATTTTTTTACCAATATTGTCTTCTTCGTCGCCACTCGGATTAATCAAGTCCTTTGATAATATTTTTTTTTTCGCTTTTTCATAAATATCTAACAAACAAGTATTAATATGTCAGTTTGATTTTGTTATTAAATTTAATATCATGTCAAATACTTTACCTTTAACTGATTTTAATAAATCATCAGAATGTTTATCTTGATAATGAGCTAATAACTGTCTATCGGTTTTAAAATTAGTTCTGCAAACAGGGCATAAAAAACCCTCGAGTGAATCTTTCATTTCTTCCATGATTAAATTGTTTGGTTAACAAAAAAATTTTTATTTTTTTTATTAAAAAAAACACATTTGTCCATATGCTGAATCAAGTTCCAACCAAATAATTTGTCCAACAGAACTTAACCATGTAATTAATACATTACATTTTGAATCGGTGAAACAATTTAAAAAATCCTCTGTGTGACATGGATGAAAATAAAAAAATGGCCTAAATAAATATGGATGTTCATTTTGTGTCAAAGTAAACCACTTGTTGTTAATAAGATATTCTTTAAAATTAGGATTAATTCCTTCTTCCCATAATTGTTTCAACGATAACAATTCTCCGTTTGAATTCCAAACGTTAAAATAAATAACAGGAACTTGATAGGAATAACTATGAATTATGTGATATTCCCACTTTCTATACTTTAAAGGTACAAAATTTAAAGATTGATCATCATCATCATCATCATCTTCTCCATCTTTTTCTTCTCGTTCGTCAAATCGATTTTTATCAAATTCGTTTAACTCTTCATTCTCATCATTAATTTTAACACACTGAGTCACGGATTTTTTAAGGTATATATGACTATTATTATTATTATTATTATTTTCTAATGTCCAACCGTCGTTGATAATATTTGAAATATTAATAAAATGATTAACGCACTTGACAAAATCACTGTACAACATGAGTTTAACTCTTTATTATAAATTATAATAACGATTTCCGTTCGAAAAAATGATTATCACGTAAAGTAGTATGGTAGTAGTTAATGTAATATACATTTGAAATTAAATACTCCTTCCACGACTTTTTAAATAGTAAACTTAATGGCAACGAGACGAACGAAACCGTTAATTTAAAAAAAATTTTAAATTTTTCCATTCGAAAAAATGTCGTTAAAAAAAAAAAAAAGAAGGACGTGAATAATAATAATAAAAAAAAAAAAAAGAAGGACGTGAATAATAATAATAAAAAAAAAAAACAAATTTAAATTTTAGAAATAAAAAAAAAAAAAAAAAAACGATATTTATTGAAAAATTTCTAAAATACATATATAAATCTAATTAATATTATTATTATTATTATTATTATTATATTTCACTAAAACATTAAATAATAATGCACGAATTTATTCGTAATCAATACAAATATACAATTAAGAATTAACTTTTTTATTAAAAATTTTTTTTTTTTTTTTATTTAAACATAATTATAATAATTGTTTCGTTAAAAAAGAGAGAGAGAGAGAGAGAGAGATACATATTATTTAAAAAAAAAAAAAAAGAAATAAAAATCAACAAAACAATTATTAAAAGTTATAAGAAAACAAATACAAAAAAAAATTTATTGATATAATAATATATAAACCGTGCATGATTCAATTATTATTAAAAAAACAAAAATTATCATTATTATTATTATTATTATTATTATTATTATTATTATTATTATTATTATTATTATTTATATAAAAGCTTAACCAGTCTACAAAGCTTAAATTTATTTAAATCATTATTATTATTATTATTATTGAAAAAAAAAAAATTGATTTGTGCTTTTAACAAACAAACAAACAATAATTCATTTTATTTTAACTGAGAGAAACAAAAAAAAGAAAATTTCATTTAAAGTTCATAAGTTAAACATAAAAAGAAAAAAGAAATTTACAGCAATAATAATAATAATAATAATAATAATAATAATAATAAACAATGATAAAATTTTAAACAAAATAATTATTTACGTATTTTTTATTTATATTTATATATATATATAATATGCATATACGTGGTAATTTTATTTTAATAATAATAATAATAATATTTATAATTAAAACACGTTTGTTGTTGTAATTGACATAAAGCTTTAAATCCTTTTTTTTTTTTTTTTTTTTTTTATAAATCCCGGCAAAATGTAACACAAAACAATTTAATTATTTCAAAAAGAAAATTTTTGTTTAGTTTTATTTATCACGTAAAATCATGGCAGCATGGTTTAGTATAAAAAAAATGTTTATCGTCATTATTATTATTATTAAAATTGTATTTTTTTTTTTTTTTGATTGATAATATTGGCACTATCGTAGTTTAATCCCCTGCCGTTGATAACGATGATAAGAATGATGATGATGACGTAGTACTAAACTATCACGTGACTAGGAATACTCGTGAAAAAAATCTAACGCGTCGTCTGTTAACAAAAAAAAAAAAAAAAAAAACAAAAATTTTTGTCCGCCATTTTGTTTTTGTAATCGATTTTAAAAAATTTTTATTTCGTAATTTAATAATAATAACTCACGCCATGTTTTTTTTATTTTATTTAATAACGAATCGAAATTTTTTTTTTTTTCTTTTCTCACTGATTTTTATTATCATCCTTTGGACAAACTGGACAACATTCATCCGGTTTCGTTTCCGGTTTCGAACAAATCATTTTCGGGCAGAGAATTTTCGTGCAAGTTATTTGTTTTTCCTGAAAAAAATATAAGAAAAATTATATTCATTTCGATTATCGATCGATTAATCGTTTTATCGATGCAACCGTCACGGGTACCAACCTGACAAACGCATTGAGTGCATGCATCTTTCGACCAATGTTCACCGTTAATTCTTTTATGACCGTTATCGTTGCATTGATTGTGATGATGGGATCCATGAGACTGAGTTGAATTTTTCTTATTTAAATTCATTTGACATTGATAAGATAATTTTCTCATTTTTCTTTTTATTTGTTTAAGAGTTTTTTGAAATTCTTCTAAAACCGTTTCCATACCTTCGATTCTATCTTCGTTAACTTCGTCATCCATTTGAACCTTAAAAATATTTTAAAATAAATAAATTTAAATCCTTTTTTTTAAACTTTACCCTTTTCTTAAACGTACCTCATTGTAAAATCGATTTAATTCGTTTAATTGATTCATTTGTGAATTTGTTTGACGTTTTTTTACCATCGACGAACCTGAAGAAGATCTTCTCGTTCTCGATATTGAATTTGATATACCATCGAAGATTCTCGGACCTTGACAATCTACATACGAAAAAAAATTTTTTTTTTTTTTTTTTTTTTTAAACGAATATAATAATGATAATAATAATAAATGTGAATATTATTAACCGTGAGAACATTCCGTCCAAAATCTTAAATCGATTTGTGGTATTTTTGCACACGGCAGGTATCCTCCCTGTTTTCTCGGTAAAACAAACACGTTTCGTGTAACGTCTCGAATGTCGTCTCCATTGTCGCAAAGAACTCGTGCCAAACTCGATTGTTTTATTTCGGTTAATTGTTCAGGTTTGAAAACTCCATTGTTTTCATACCAAAATCTAAAAAAAAACATTTTTTTTTTTTTCAAAAGGGTGCGACGAGAAGATGGGTGTGACGTATGAGATTTTTACATTTAAAAAGAATAAATTATGATTTTAATTATTCACCTGTCGCCATCTCTTAATCTTTTAAATTGTTCGACTAACAAACATCTAAACGTTGGTCCTACTTTAGCACCATCAATTTGATCTTCTAATATTCCACCGACCCAAACGTCAATATTTCCTTTGTAAAAAAAAATTTGAATTAAATAAAAAAAAATTTTGAAGATTTTAATAAACAATAATTTTTTTTTTTTTTGTTCTGTTGGTACCTGGATGACCGTACAAAGCTTCAAGTTCGTTTCTAACGCTTTGACTCGATATTTCCCCTCTCAAATCGTCAAAAGTTTCCGCGACCGTCAAATTACAATATTTTCTAAATGCGTTGTATTCCGGCAATGCGTGATCTCTTCCTCTCTGTATGTTAATAGCTGCTAAATCTAATGCCACGGCATGTGCAAATTCAAATAAATGTTCCGTGAGTTCTGAATTTAAATTTTGCGTCGGAGTTTTTAATTTTGCCGGTGCCGTGAAAAGTCCTCTCATCAAAGGATCCACACCGCCTTCGTCGACGAGTCTCCAGGGTGAAAAAAATGCCTTTTGGAGAAGTAAATGTCCTAGAAAAACAAAACAAACAATTTAAAAAACAATTCTAAAACGTTGTGTTGTGTTGTTGTTTATGAGTTGTACCTTCTGGAATGGGTTGAAACGAACTATTCAACCTTTCCAAAACTGGATTTATAAGTGAATGTCCGAACCTTAACGCAGCAGTTGCAAATACGTTTGATATTCCAGGACTTATGTTTGGATCGTAACTTTTATATTTACCCAACATTTCCATACCTTTTTCTCCCAAAACCAGGGGTAACCAATGATTGTAAGTTATGTGTTGCATTTCGGCTCCTACAATCTAAACATTTTAAAATTTTAAAAAAAATAATTCATCGCCTTTTGTTATAATTTTCATACCTTTCTCGCTTCGTAATAAATGGTATCTCCATCCCAATGAGTGTTCAAATGACGTAGTTCCGATGCTATACGATTATGTTCTCTAAACCAAATGGTATGCATTGCCAAAAGTCCGATTTGTTCGTTCGAACGTATATCACCTTGAAGGAGCAACAAAGGGATCAGATTATTTGGATAAAAATCCACTTCGGGAAAAATTCTTTTATTTGTACCTGCTATGAAACATTCGATTTCGCTTTCTCCAGGATCACGTCTGCAATCGTTGGGATGATTTTCGGCAAATGGCAATAACGGTTTACCGTTCGGATAAGAAATACCTTCTCTTAAACGACCATAATCGTTTGTGAAATTTCTTAAAATGTTTGCGACGTCAGTTGAAAAACCATAAACCTGAAATTAATTTCATTTCTTAGTACCTACGTACTTTGGAACTCGTGCTCGTATATACGTACCTGGGAAGCATCAATAAACGCCGTCAATTGATTGATTTGTTCTCGGGGTTGAACGTCGGCCCATAGTACGGAAGTTTGACCGGAACCGCAAATCGCACTCGATCGGACAACGTCTATGCATCTTCTGTTGGTAACCCTTGGATCGTTCGGTGGTACTTCGATAGGATAACAGGGTGCTGCATAATCGCACGATTTTTTACAATTTATACCTCCCCAACTTTCGCTTGAAACTGAGGGTATCGCGTGATCTAAATCGTGATCTAAAAACTGTCCCCATTGCATGAGCATGTGGGTCACGTGATCGTCTGGAGTTATTTCATCCGTACGTATTAAACGTGTTGAAATTAACCTTGCGCTAGGTTTTGAAAATCCGTGATATTTTATTGATTTTGTCCAACCTGTTACGTAATTAATTTAATTAACCATTGAAATTTTTCCTTTTTTTTGGGGGGTATTTGTAATGATTACTACTCACCGACTGGCATGGAAAATCCATCTTCGTAAACAGGACTAAGAATACGATCGAAACCTGTAAGTGATGCTCCCCACATCGGATGTTTCATGTTGTTGCAAGTACCATCGATGGTTCTGTACTTATTGTGAAAGCACATGTCTGAACAATTTATCGCAGGCCTATGAATCATGCATCCGGAAAGATTTGCTATTATTGTCAATTTTTCCGGTGATAGAATGTCCTTATAGCTAAAATCTTTAATCACATAATTTTTAAACTCTGGTTCCGTAACGGTTTTTTTTTTTTTTTTGAAATTAAAATAACGTACCTTTTTCAGGTTTGACTTTCATTCCAGATTCAACATGTTTTCTTATCAAATAAAGCGTACGCTCATAAACTTCTGCTGCTCTGGCAACCTGTCGTGCTGCAGCGTTTGGAAATCTAACCAATCTCATTAATTCGCCGGCTGAAAGAGGAGGACCGTTACGTGGACGATGAACGAATGTTTTCAAAGTGTTGTCAACAGCATGATCGATATCTCTTGAAGCTTCTTCGAATGCTTTCTGAACGAATTTATCTCCCGGACTGGCCGGTTGAGGTTTTCCTGTTTTTTTTTTTTTTAAATTAAAAACAATTTTTTCTCGTCACGTCTCGAGCTTCAGTTTATAAAAAAAAAAAAAAAAAAAAAAAAAAAAAAGGAAAATCCTTTGCTGACCTTTGACTTTAAGCACTCCATTGGCAACAACTTTTCCAAAATCATTAACGGCAGAACATTCGTACGTTCCGGCATCTTGAAAAGACACACTATGAATGTACAAACTACCGTGTGATGATAATCTATAATGACCTTTGCTTTCCGATATGACATTTCCATCTTTTCTCCAAACCATAACGGGTGCAGGTTCTCCATCGGCTTTACACGGTATTTCAATAGTCGAACCTGCAGGTACGTCTAAATTATACGGGGTGTGAATAAATTTTGGTGGTAGCCGTTCGCGATAATCTTTAACTAAAATTCTTGCTGTCGTTTCTGCTTGACCCGCACGATTATCCGCTCTGCAAACATAAAGTCCAGAATCGGATTCTTTAACGTGTTCGATCCTTAATTTTTGACCTGAAAAATAAATAAAAAAATCCATGAAACATTTAAAAACAAACGAAATAAAATAAAGCGGACAAAAAAAAATTACCCAAAACATAAGTTCGTCCTCCTGTAGCCAACAATCTTCCACCTTTGTACCAAGATATCGATGGCACGGGTTCACCATCAGCAGCACAAACTAATTCCGCCATTTCACCAGATTTAAGCGTCAAATTTTCCGGATGCGTTGAAAATGTCGGAGCCACTGGAAAATTATTAATTTATTTTTTTTATTTGTATTTTTTCCCTCTCACTCCCCTCCCCCTAATTTTAAAACTAATTAAATGTCTACTCGTGTGCATGTGTACATGTATAAATTATGAAAAACGTAAAAGTTAATTAAACATGTTTTTATTTATATTTCTAACGGTTAATATTTTATTAATTATATAATTTATTATAAATATGACACGCACGTTTACGATCGGAAAAGTCTCCCCCCCTCCCCCTCCCTTTAATTATCATAAACATGTATCCACTTATCCAGCCCTCCCACCATTTTCATGCTAATATTATTATTATTATTATTATTATTATTATTTTTAATCGTACGCTTTGGAAAAGAAAAAAAAATTCAATTTTTTCAATATTTAAAAAAAACGCAATTAAAATAAAATTTCCGGGAAAAACAACAAAGAGGATGAAATATAAAGAGAGAGAGAGAAAAAAAAGAGAAAGAGAGAGAGAAAAAAAAGAGAAAGAGAGAGAGAGAGAGAGAAAAAAAGAAAGAGAAAGAGAGAGAGAGAGAGAGAGGGAAAAGTGTTTACTTTATAAATTTCCTTTTTTTTTCTTTTATTATTACTGTGAAAAAGGTGACGAAAAAAAAAAAAGAAAAAAGAAAAGTTTTTATTTTATTTTCTTTTTTAAACCGCACTAACAATATTAATAATAATGATGATAATAATAATAATAATGAGAGACTAATAAAAATTTAGTTAAAAAAAAACATAAAATGTAAACCGCAGCAAAAACGAATAATTAAAATAATAATAATAATTTTATTTAATAAAATGTTTTTTTTTTTCATTTTTTTTTCTGGCTAAAGGCTACTAAATGAATGTGTGCACATAATTAAATTTATTATTATTATTATTACTACTACTGCTTTTTTTACAAAAGTGCGACAAAAATTTAATAAAAAACTTTACCGTCAGATGTCGCCGCTTGAGATTCTGTCAGCCATATAAAAAGGAAAAAAAATTTATATTTTAAATAATCATTTAATAAAGTTGACTTATTTATTTAATAAAATGAAAAAAAAAAATTTTTTTTAATGCCTTTAAGGTTCTTTAAAATTTCGTTTCCTTTCTTTCTTTCTTTCTTTCATTTTTTTTTTTTTTTTTTGCTCTCGTTCAAGAGTTTTCCCTGATAAAAAAAAAAAATGAATCAAGTGTTGAATTTTTAATTAACTCAATTTTTTGTAATCTTTTTTTCATTACAAAAAAATTTAAAAAATTAATTATTTTTAATTAAAAGTTAAAAAAAAAAAAAAAAAATGTCTTTCTATCTTTTTCTTTTTTTTTTTTTTTTTATATCCTTTTCTTCGAATGTCTTGTGTCAGCCATTTTTTTTTTTTTTTTTTTTTGAAATTGTCATAGCGACTTTGCTAACGAGAGCAAAAAGGAAAAAAATTTTTCTCGTTTTTTAATGGTTCGTTTTATTATTATTATTATTATTTATGTTATTTTAATGACACTTACCGTTGACTCGAAGACGTGACACAGATGAAATAACACCTAAAGAATTTGCTGCCGTGCACCGATATATTCCAGCATCTTGAGGTTGCGCGTTGAAAATGATTAAAACTCCATTATCTTCGATCTGTAATATTTGATGAAATTAATTTTTTTTTTTTTCGGCTGGTGCCACGACTTAATAATAATAATAATAATGATTCGATGCTATACTACTAACTCTGTACTTGTGCGAATTGGATAAATGAGATTCTCCAAAATACCAGGAAATGTGAGGTCGAGGATCTCCATTTGCCGAACAAACCAATTGCACTGTATCACCAATGTTTGCTGACCAATCGAGAGGCGTCCTTTCGAAATGCGGTTTTCCTTCTGTTTTAAAATTTTAAATTAACGAATACCCCAAATAATAATAATAATAATAATTTTCTCTCTCTCTCTCTCTCTCTCTCCTTTTTTTACCTCTCGTCGTTCTAACTTTATCCATTCTGACTTGTTTCGATTTTATTTGTCCTAATGGACTTTTTGCAACGCATTCGTACGTTCCTAAATCTTCGTCCAGAGTACTTTCAATCATTAACGTTCCATCTTTAAGTATCGAATGCCTACCGTCGTTTGCGTTTATTTCATTGCTGAGGGAATTTAAAAAAGAAAAAAATTATTATTATTTTTTAAATAATAACATCACAACTAAACATTGTCGTGGAAAACGTTATACCTATTTCGAAGCCATATTACTTCCGGTGCGGGATCACCATCGACTTTGCAATGAAACGATGCAGAACCTCCAAAACTAACTTCAACATC